ACCACGGAGATGCTGGGTACGGGGTAGGCAATGTGGGCAATCGGAGGCGCGAACACAGCCCTGTGCCGAGCCAGCAAGGTGAGCACATCGGTCCCAGCTCCCCAGGAGCAAGGCTCTGGGGCCGGCGCTGTGGCGCGTGGGTAACGCCACGGCCTGAGGCACCCGCATCCCATATGGACGCTGGTTCTAGTCCCAGCTGCTCCTCTTCCGATCCAGCTCTCTGCTGTGGCCTGGGAAAGCAGTAGAAGATGGCCCAAGTCCTTGGGCCCCTGCCCCCGCATGGGAGACCTGGAAGAAGCTCCTGGCTCCTGGCTTGGGATCTGCGCAGCTGTGGACACTGCAGCCACTGGGGAGTGAACCCGCGGATGGAGGACCTCTCTCTCTGTCTCTACCGCTCTGTAACTGTCTTTCAAATAAATAAAATAAAACTTTACAAAAAAAAAAGGGCCCCGGGCTCAGGTCCAGAGAGACCTGCAGCCCACGAGCGGAGCACAGGAGACCCGAGCAGCGCCTGGCCCAGCTCCTCCACTCGGAAACCGTCCCAGGGATGCCATTCTCAGCCACTAAACTCGTGGACTCTGTTAAACAGGAAATGGAACACTAACACAAATATCCTAAAACCACATCAACACTCAACGGTCGCTCAGTTTAAAGCGACAGAAATCACAGATGAGCTCTGAGGACATCAGGAGTCCCAGCTCAGGGTGCCGGTTCCACCCCCGCCCTGGCTCCAGCTTCCTGCTGCTGCTCACTCTGGGCGGCGGTGACGACGGCACAGCGCTGGGTTCCTGCCACTCACAGAGACCTGGACTGAGCTCCCAGCTGCCAGCCGGGAGTGAATCAGCAGATGGGAAGGGGGTGCGTGTGTGGTGCATTCTTTACGCTTCTCAAATACATTTTTAAAAACAACCTTCTTGGGGCCAGCACTGCGGCACAGGTGGTAAAGCCACCACTGCAGCATCGGCATCTCACACGGGTGCTGGTTCAAGTCCCGGCTGCTCCACTTCTGACCCAGCTCCCTGCTAATGGCCTGGGCAGCAGTGCAGGATGGCCCAGGTCCTTGGGCCCCTGCACCCAACTGGAAGACTTAGAAGCTCCTCACGCCTGGCTTTGGGTCAGCCCAGCTCTGACCACTGTTGCCAGATGGAAGATCATTCCCATGCGCACACTGTCTAACTCTGCCTTTCAAATAATTAATTAAAAAAAAAAAAAACTTTCTTTTACCAGCAAAAATGGCAATCCAAACACAAGAAGCGGAGCAAGGCCTTTGCAGGCCAAGGCAGCTGCAGCACTCAGGGCAGCACGGCCGCGGTCCACGTGCCGGGGCGCGGGGCGCAGGGTGGAAGCAGAATCCCGAGTGGAGTGCCCTGCCCGTCCACCCTCAGTGTCGGCACTGGACGGCATGTCACAGAGCTGCCCCACCCACAGCAGTGCCACCGGCTGTCAGTTTGGCAGCGGTGGTACAGGGAGCTTCAGAAAGGCCTGAACTCCCACCTTAAGTAGCTCAAGTCAGGGAACAGACCTGGCTCAAACGGAGATAGCTGGGCCCCTGCAGAACCAAGAAACTAACTCCTGCTGCATTTTCATTTTTTTAAGATGTATTTATTTATTTGAAAGAGTTACTGAGAGGGAGGAGGAGGGGTAGGGGTTGTCTGTAAGCTGCCCTGAAGTTGTTTTTTCTTCAAGAAGCAGTTGCCGAAAACGGAGAGACGTACAGCACGGGTATCAATCTTCATTTCGTTTCACTCTTCTCTTTTGCTGTGGAGCAATAACTGTTTTGAACCCTACTGACCACAAACATTAGTAAGTTCCCG